CCTCCCACCCCACCTAACACAATAACGCATCCAGGAAGGCAAGGAAGATGGATAAAAAAAGACATGGAGAAACGAGTCAACAGTGTTGGGGAAACAATGTGCATACGCGAAGCGAAGCCTGAGCCGCGCAGCGTCACCCCATGCGAATCCAGAGCCCAGCGCTATCTCTCTCGTTCTGTCTAAAGCCGTCTCTCAACACATTTCAACCCCCTTGCACGCTTTCTTTATCATCGGGTGCGCCTCTCGCCACGAAGCGCCGAGACGTCGTTCGATGAATACCTTTGCAGTTTTCGCCGTTCTTGCCGTTCACGTCGTTCTCCTCACTGTTCTCGCTGTCATCATCGGCGACTCGACGCGCAACGTTGCTGCATCGATGCAGTCAAAGTGAGCCAGATTCTTCAGTCCAGACTTTCACACATTCGTCAGTCTCCAGTATTTTCACTCTTCTGCAACGATGACGATGCTGATGAGGATGAGCAGTGACGACAGCGGAGGCAGGGAGGTAAATAAAAGAAATACCTTCAAATGGATTTTCACTGGACTTAGGACGTCCAAGTGATTGCCACGATATTCATAGTGTAGAAAAGAAGATGAATTTGATAATTCGATCTCAAGATGAAAAAGCTGCATGCCATTGTAGGTGGAAAGGATGTTTTATGAAAAGTTTCCAGGGTAGTTAATGCTGCGCAACTGGATTCTCCCCGCTCCGTCGGATGCTGGATCTGGCGTTTATCATCGTTAGAGACATAAGGAACCACTCTTCGACAGACTGTACACAGTCCTTTTACGGGATTGGGTAGTAGGAACGAATCGGAACGGATGGTCTCGAACACAATGCTACCCCGCCGTCACCTCCCTACCTCAAGATCAGAGTTGGAAAATAAGAGATTACGAGCTTCGGAAGAGAATAAGATCAGTCCTCTTGATTTGTCGCGTGCCCAATTAGTCCTGCGGTCGTCCGATTTCACTTGCAAGTTGCCGCGGCCACCGAGTTACGGGGCGGTTCGACTAGCGCTCGGTTCGTGTTCTTCGTCTACTTCTACCCTTTCTATCTTCCTAGGAACTCTTGTCACAGGATAATGTGTAAATTCCACGTAACTCAAGATTTACGTTATTAAAAATTCAATATGGCCGTTTACACTTTCCAGTCACCTTGATGTAATAAGATTGACTAAAATAAAACTGGCCGTTCGTAGGATTATTCAAGACTACTGTGGTTGGATTAAAGTTGGTTCTGCTACAAAACTTTAAAGGGAGAGACTAACTCGAGCTGCTAAGTGAATCATCAACAACTTCAATATGAAATGCTTCATTTCAATCTTAGGATAAAGTAAATTGTCTCGATTTTTCAAGGTGGCCAGTGGCCTGTGCATTTCTTCAGTGTCCCCCGGCGTCCCTGCTCTTCCCTTTACGGATTTTTACGGATGGAAAATGAAGGGGAGAGAGAGAGAGAGAGAGAGAGAGAGAGAGAGAGAGAGAGCTCAGATAGTCTCGCAGCCCGTTGTGTCCCTTGAAAAGCGCAAGTGCTCTTCTTAGTAACGACTGCGTAAACGAAGCTGCAGGAAGAGCATCTACGACTGCAAGCTCATTTTCCAAATCGTTCCTGATAAACTCGGGACAAATTAGTTTATTTTTGGTAGTTGCTTAGATTCGTCTCCTGTGGTAGTTGTGAGCAGCCACAGCACTGACGACAGTAATGCCACTACGAGAGACAGCGCAGAGCCCACCCACTCGCTGTGCTAAAAATATGTCCATTTCTTGAGACGAGTTAACGCACTCACCCCATCTGCTGCTACTTCCCCTCTTACCCCCTCGACCCCTCCCAACCCCTATCCTTCTCTGACTCGTTAGGTTGCGCGGTTTAACCCGTTAAACGGCAAATAACTTGCATGCGAGTCTCGCGAGTAGTAGAGGTTGCGCGCGTACGCACGTCGCGCAACCTCAGCACCGATTCCATTTCTTCCGGTTCTCATGGCTTCACGTCTTCTCTTTGTGACGTTCTTCTGTTGCCTTTTTAAACAAAGTGCCAAAGTCAGCGTCCAAACTTGAATACGGCACGCGGTGAAGCACTCGTCCATTAGGTCGTACCTACCCGCGACTGCAGTAAGCGCGGGAGCAGGAAAAACTTGACAAGAGAAAGGAAGGCGCGTTAATAAGGAAGGTACCCTTCTATACGGGAAAATGCAGGCATCAGACCCGCAGCGCTATTAGGAATAGTTGACTACGCAGTCATCAGGCAGAATCTTTGCCTACTTTACGGTAGCATTTCAATTTTTATTTTTTTAAATTGCATTTCTTCTTTCATTCTTAGATTTATGTTTCGACTGGCAGGAACACGCGAGGGGACATGAGTTCGCATAAGCTCCTATCTCCTTTCAAGACGCAAGGTAGAATTCGCCCATCCATGGAGGACGAATGGTGACCCAATCATTCATGTTTCACGTGTATATCACATACATATATGTATATTGTATCCACATATCGTACAGACCGAATGGACGGAAGAAGCTCAGAATAATACGTTTTTCACCGTCGTAATGCAAATTCCTACGCAATTGTATTGCCAGTGGTATTATCGCCTAAATTAAAAGGAAATATTCTTCATCAGAAGGGTCTCCATTATTGTCTTGATCTAGTTTCTCGAACACCACATAAT